ATGCTTTATGAAAAATTGAAAAGCATTGACAGCCATCACTCGTAAAATAGGTAAAACAACCCAGCGTTCCTTCAGAAAGCTTCCAAGTTTTCCATTTTCCTAGCTCCTTTTCTGAATGTTTTCACTTCTGTCAACACTTATTTTTTGTCTGTTACAATCCTCAAATAAGTTTTCTTTCTTTTAAAAAGGTGTATGACAAACAAATCCAAATTATATCCTTCTGAATCTTACACAATTATTTTCCTCCCATGAAATACACAACTTTAAAAAATGGCTGCCGTTTACATTTTAGAAAGCCAGGTCTAATATAAATTCGCAGTAAGTAACAGAAATATGGATGGATGGTTGGAATTTTCTCCTGCAAGAATTGTTTGTTTTTATTATAAAAACAAGCGATCATTCATATTTTTTTAATAAAATGAATAAATATCACCGTCATTTAACCTTGATTGGCGGCCTTATTTTTCAGCTCAAGACTTCTTGTTTTAAATGAGAAATTCCGTCTAAATGGGGCTCTCAATGGGGGAAACAGATTTTAATATTAACGTTAAAATTATGGAAATTTCGTTTTAACTTGTTTTTAAGCATAAAATAAAAAGAAAATTTGTCTGTTTGTTGTGTAAGATGTAATTTTATTTCATCTCGTGAACTTTAAAAACAGAATACTGTTTTTAAAGCTCACTCGATGAAAAAAAATTCATCTTACACACAAACAAACAAATATCCTCTATATCTAAAACATCTTGATATATCTCTGTTAATAGTTAAACTTTTTAGAGAAAGAAATCTAAGTATATTTTCTATCTATTAGGCATGCTAAAGGATTGTTTTGAAAACGAATAGCTACTCTACACAATGATTTTAATTGATTCCCTTTTAACTTTACTTGGGGCGTAGGCCGTATGAATATAACAAAACGTTGTTTCTTGCTGTTGAATATTCAACAGAGATCTTTACATAGCTAATTGATGTTCATGATAAGATTCTGACCGCTACATTACATATTTGTTCTGATAAAATATCATAATCGTATATATTGTTGTTTTTTTTTAATTTGTTTTGTATAATTATCTTATTTTAACGAAAAAAGACTTTTCGATTTTATTTTTTGTTAATTGACTACAATGAAATTTGTAGGCACCACGTTATAACTATCACCTTTATATTTATATTATGTTGTCTTTAAAATAATGATTCCTGATACCCCCAAAAACATAAAATTTTGAACACAGAGATTGAATTAGAAGTGTCTGTCGACAGTATATATCTATATAACTCATTATGTATTCTGTTACGAAATTTTGAATTTTTTATAATACTACTGACTCCATGTGATTTGTACTAATACTGTGGAAGAGATATAGCGTAACTATTTGAAAGTTTATAATAGTTTAATGAGGTTGCTACTGAGTATTTCATATGATGTAATTGATTTATAACCGGTAATTTCTTTTCCTTGATTTTATTATTCATTGATCCAAACTTATAAAAAGAAAGGAAAAATTCCATGTCCAACCGCAGACAATACCACCATATCGATAATTATTTCCGCCATACTTCCGTTAGGAATTATGGGTAAAATACGAACACTATCACATGCGTACATTTATGTTATAGCACTGTTACAAATTAAACATGTCTCTTTATAATGTTGAATGTATTTTCTTTATTATCTTTGACTGATTATGAAATATCGTATAATTTATCAAACAAAGTTACAAAAAATAATGTAAAAATCTATGATATTGAAAAATACTTTTAAAAAATGCACACCTTTTTAATTAGAAACAAAATGGAATACGTTTGGATATTATATATAGCATTACCTATTTATGGAAGAAGCGATGGTATACTGCCGGTATATCCAGGTAATATGATTTCATAATGAGGAGTTTTTTATTGTAGTTTTTTTCGTTTTATTTCTTTTTAGATCTTATTCCTACTCATATAAGTAAACTTCATCAGTAAACAATTATATTTTTGTATGTCATACATCCAACAAACAGATAAAAACACATTTATATAGCCTTTTTTGTTATCCAGTTTAAGATCAGACTTTTACTTAAATCTTATTTTTTAATTATTATTATTTTAACATCTTTGTCTTTTGTAACATCAAACATTGACTTTACAATTGTTTAAAACTATTCATCTTTCAAAATAATACTACTTTTATACATACAATAATATCTTGATTTTATTCGTCTAAATTTCAACTTTTCCCCTGATAATGTAGAAAGCCAATAAGAAGAGATAAACAATGAAGACATAAGAGATAACTAATGATTTTTGCATGTGTTCAATAATGTTTGAAGGGCACGCCAGTTTGAGGACAGCCGCGAAACTGCAAAACTCTCAAATATACATAGTAAAGGCAAATCTAATTCTTGAAGCATGTCACTTGCAAAACTAAATGTATTTAAAAATGCAATACTTCTCTGAAGATACTGAAGAAGATGAAAACAAAAAGTAATTGCCATTCTCAAGTTGTTTTTAAATTAGTTGTGATTTTTTCTTTGCTACGTTGTTATATATATATAACCATGCCATTTATTTTAGCCGCTCTGCTCAATGCCCAAATATCCCAAACATCCCTGGATTTTGTTTACTTCCCACAAAAGATAGTATGGAGTGCTGCCAGAACCGTGTGCCAAAGTATAGGCGGAGATCTAGCTACGGTAGACTCTGAAGTCATCTTGGATTACATTGTAGGACGAGCACAGAAAAACTACGGAACTAATATATTGTAAAGAAATTTTGAATCATTTATATTTATAATGGAATCAGAAAACGCTACAAAATCAAAAGAAAAAGACATAACGTTTCAGAGCAAATAAAGTTATGAGTAAAAGTTTTTGTTCCGAAGATTATAAATATGGGACAATTCGTTATTCGACGTTAACTGTGTCATAAAAGCATTAGAAAAACTACTTGTAACTTATCTTTTAGCATCATTGTTATTTTCAAACTGTTGATTGCTCGATAAATCTAGTTGTGAATGTAACAATGGGGGGAGTGGGACTTTTTCTTTGAAAAATTTTGTACGTATAATATTGATAATCAAGAAAATAAATCGGTTAAAATATGATTGTTTAAATGATAGACCAGAAATGAAATTACCTTGAGACACTGTTTACCATGTTTAAATTTATCACAACCCAAAACATCTGTGCAATCATGACATAAGCATGTTTTTTGCTCAACTAAATTTGGTTTGCCCAGTTAAGGGTCTGTTAATACCATATTCAAATATAGTTTAATCATCACACCATTTTATTTAACAGTCATAGAAAATAGACATATTTGACAGATTTGTTTCAAATTTAAAGTACCCATTTATATACGTATTGCGTTTAACACGCCTTTCATTTGACATTTATATTTTCAGTATAGAAGAGTATTGGGTTGGACTAGTACATCCTCAAGAAAACGATCGCTTCTGGGTCGCAGACTGTAGGAATTTGACATATACCAAGAATTATGAAGACGTTATTTTTGATTTGGGTAAACATTGTGTACGAAATAGACATACTCACATTGGAGACCGAAGGGAATGTACTCAAGAAGAGGCGTTCTTATGCCAAGTTCCTTCATGTAAGAATCACAATTTGTCATAAAATGACGAGAAAGGCAATGCACGAATCAAAATCCTTTGTGCATAAGTTCATATGCTTGATTTTTAATAAATATGAAAATGATCAGTTTGTGTTTGCAATATCAGTTTGATGAGTTGAAAGCTTTATGCCTAGAAATTCACTTTCATAACTTTCCCAGAACCAAAAGGCACTAAGGAATGAGTATCAAGGAATCATAACTTTATATGAAATTTGTGTAGAATTAATATTAGATTAATTGCGTTGGAAACTTTATGACTATATAATCACTTTCGAACCGTTCCTGGAATCAAACAACACTAAGTAAGCGATGCGTATCGAGGCCCCACTGTGCCACCTATCCTTACTGGTCCAACGTGTAAACCACTCGGCTCGGCCCGCTGCAACTTACAGCTATCATTTACTTACATATCATTTTCATGCCTAATTCCAAAGGAACTGTTTGCTGCATTGCTTTCGAATCAATTTTTATTCTTGCTTTTACGGGAAAATGAAATTGTGTGTATTGAAATGAAGTTGTACTGGTCAAATTTGAAACGATTAAATTCGATCCATTTATGCCATTATGAGTAACTAAAATCGATGTACGACATATAGAAATAAATTTGAAACATACACCTAGAACACTCTGGCTTGTGAAGTTTTATATAAACACAATGGCTTTATTTGTGATACATGTATATAATATATCTATCCCATTTTTCTTATAAAAAGAACCAACAACAATGATAAGTGTAAGGAAACAAACCCGAATGATTTAAATTCGACAAGTACTATTTTACTCACAGTTGTTGTTATTAATTAATAAAAAGATCAACTTTTTTCCCACAGCACAACCTTGCGATGTTGTTGAACTTGTCAACAGCGAGGTGTTATCTGTAGAAACAGATGTAACAAATTGCGAGAATATATGTCTGAATGATCCTGAATGTTGGGCGGCAGTAAAGTATGTACCAAACAATTGTGTACATCTTGCTTTGCCAGGCTATGGTGTTGAAGGTTTTACTTTGGGGTCAAAATTTTGTTTCAATGGTAGGTATTTGCTGTGTTCAAACGCGACAAACATCATGTATTTATCCCTTGTTAGTTAAATTCATTTTATGTGGGCAATGTCTTATAATTATACCTTTTTTGCAGAAAAATATTTTAATTTGTCGAAGACTTTTCTCATATTATTCGTTTATATAATGTAGAAGATCTTCTTTGTTACGAGATGTTCATATGTAGGATCATTCTCTAATAATTGTAGAATTAAGGGAGTGCTCGTTTCTTTTACTTAGCTTGTTTCATGTGCATGTCCGTGAAAAAGCTTGCAATTGTAACCAAAGCTAATGATATCAGTGTCAAAATATAATATCTAACTACTACCCAAAACGATTACTTTAATACCTCTTTCGATAGTGTAGCATTTATATTTTTGTTCTAAGAAGGACTCATTTGAAACGCAATGTTCATCTATATTAGAAATGAAAATTCTTGATGAATTTCCTGTGCTTAATATTCTTTTCTTTTCAGTAACTTTAAATGACACGATCATTACTCCAGATTTATCCAACAGCAGCCTTACACCTGACGCTTCGTGTGGCCCGTTTACAAGTGAGTATAACTTTTAATATTTAAAGCAGCTCCACTGAGGTCTAAAAGTGTTCTAACCTCTAATTTGAAAAAACTGACGTAGACCAGCTGGAGCACTTATAACAGGAAAATATACAAAAAATGAATAAATAATATACTTAAAATTAAATTTAAAAGCGATATTTTATGAATTTCTTAGAGAATTTGAATTTTAAGCGTTTAAACTCGTTTTATTTTTATATCATTTTACAGATTAAAAATAAAAACTTAAAAAATGGAAAGAGCAAAGGATCTGAAAAGTCGCTACAGATATAAATAAATATTATTTAAAGTAAGCTGTTAGGATCTTTCAATTTTATGTCAATGTTTGATGCTATCCCTCCCTTGTCTGCTGTTATGTATTTCAGCAACAATTATGAAACAGTCTATTCTAATTTAAAAAATTTGCATGAATTATTGTCTAAAGATCAGTTTATGGTGAGCATAATACACATTCTAGTAACATATGAAATATAATATTCTCTATTGCACTCCAGTCCAGCCTTCGCCAACCAGTGCATCTCCATTGACATCATTAGGTCTCCCAATTTGCGACACTATTACGCTTACTCAGAACCTGACCATTACAGTACTTTCATCGGAAATAACAACCGTAATATCACCAATAACATCAACTGAAACAAAAACAGAAATATCTTCCGTTACAACGACAGAAGTATCAACAGAAACAACAATTCAAATATCGGTAGATACAACTACAGAAATATCAACAGAAACAACAACTGAAATGTCCACAACAACCCAAATATTGGCTCAAACAATAAGTGAAATTTTTACTGCTACTAAAACAGAATTATCAACCACTACGATTACCGCGCCTGATACTGCGACTCAGGGTCATTACCAAAATATAACATTTGAAAAAGCGGAACAGGTTGCTGCGGAAATAGCTAAAAACTTAACAATTGACACAAAATCAACTTCATCTCATATACGTCGACTTACAAGCGCTGACGACAAACGCCAATCTTCAAAATTCGTTGGTTATATAGCTGTCATTTTTGTATTTGCTCCACTTACACTAATGTTGTTAGCTGACGTAAAGAAAGTGCTCCTTGATTTCCATTCACACGAGAACATATATGACAAATGTAAAAGGTCTACAAATAAATGTCCATAAAGAATTCCTTGATTTAGCATTGAATGGTTTGTAAAATAGACCAAAGTAGAAATTATTATTTACCAAACTTTTATAGCTTTCTCTTGATTTACACGTTCAAAGGCGCTTTACAAATAATAAACTGATAACTAATGTACAAATAACAATATCGGTAAAATACCAAAAACAGCTTTAAAACAATATAAATGTATGTACGACATACAAAAATTATAACACAATCAAATAAAATGTGGTATTACACTAATTTGAAGTTAAAATATCAGATATCGATTTTAGACGATAAAAGATTATCTTAAAAAACTGAAAATATTAAAATTAAAATATTATAATTTACATTCAACAGCGAAATTGCACTTACATATTATAATTATTATTACTATTATTTAGTCAACATATTACTATTATTATTATAACTACTGTTAGATAGTATCTCTTCCTGCTGTTTGATTTATTATTAAATTATGAAATACAGTCATTGTGCTTTGTTCCTGATATTATAAACAACTTTTGAATTGCAAAAGAAGCCGGAAGACCGCACAGATTTCCGAACATGTGAAAATACTATGACAGAAGGATTGTCTAAGAGCATAAGAGTGGACAAGTATTCATAACACAAGACAGTTTTTCTTTAAGGTCAATTTAGCTTTAAAAGTGTATTTTAGTGCATTTAATTTACATTTTACTACGTTAATCAGAAAATATTTCATATTCAGCGCTAATTCCTGCAGGTAATGAGCATCATCCATGTCTTAAATTAAATATTACGACATTATAAAATACATGTACAATTGCCCTTCCTAAAGAAAAAATATACATTCATGAAGCGTAAGTGTGCCTTCAATTTTAAACACAAGGTATTTTCTAATCTAAAATAACATTAAACTGTATTTACATTATCTATTTCATGTTGATCTAATGGCTTTATATATTATTTCTATACTTTATAGAATTTTTGAGCTTATTTCAATACATGTATTAATTATACTTCTTTTGTATCTCTTTAAATTTTTAATTATACTTCTTTTGTATCTCTTCAATTTTTGACGTGCTTTGCAAGAGAAAAAAAATGATACAAAGCAATACAATCTTTCTGCTAGAAATTGGACTGTATAACTTAAACGTGTACTTAAATGTACTTAACAGCATTAGAAGATGCACAAGAGATGTTATAATTCTGGATCAGATGATGCCGTTTTTAACCTCCCTCTGTCGGTAACATAAATATCTGATACACTGCTGTAACAATGTGGTAAAAATGAACAACTTATTAATGAAAAATCTCGAACAGGGGATTATTGCCATTAAACTAATTGAATTATTTATGTACTTTTAGAGTTCATTATACAATTAAACAATGTTTTTTTCTCAGGCTATGAAGACAATTGATAAGGTCGGGCGAGGGAAAAATTCAATTGATTTATATGAAATGAAAGACTTCGATCAAAACATCAGATAAAAGTTTACCCATATAACGAGTAAGTGACCTTATGCTAAATGAAACGAAGTTTTGAGATAATATAGTGACTTACTTTGAGGGATTATGATGGTTAAGAAGGTTTGTTTCCAATTATAAGCTGTTTGACCACATTCTAAACGGATCAAATTTGTAACACCATGTGTAAAACGTGATTGTCAAAGAAAGGGAATGTGAAAAAAATCATATTTTGTAACAGACTTGTTTGTTCTTCCCTGACAATATTAATTTAGTAACTATCACAAGTACATCCCCACTGAACTTTAATCATCGTCACAATATGAATAACATCACTTTTTCGTATTCGTTACATCGATTTTGTAGATGTTTTGCTTTTCGGGGTCAACGGTTCCCGTCTTGATTACAAGTGTGTTTTCCTCATATTTGCATGCTTTAAGTAAGGTATAAGATACATGACAAGATTTACCTGGAATCGACTGTGTTGTGAAGAATCATCATTAAATTGTTACTTTGCAAGACTGTATACACGTGCATTGTATTTCCGAAAGAAACGTTTTATGACCGTGCAATTTAATTTGTTTTTAATTTTGCAAGATAAATATAAAAATCCCATCTCTTTTGTTTTTTTGTAACAAAATTCACTCTCTATATGCCCGATTGTTTAATTTTTGTGATGTAAAACTTATATGGCGCTATACATTCGTCCGTCCGTCTGTCCGCAGACAATTCGTTCCAGGAGGATAACCTTTGAAAGACTTCTTTGATACAAGTCATAATTGTCAGGTAAATGCACTTTGTCACAGGTCGTTGTTGAGCACAATTGGTCATTGACATTATATTTTTGAGAAATGAAAAATGAAATCAGTAGAGGCATGAAAAATAATATTCATATGATACATTTAATGTTTTAACACAATGAAAGTTGGTAACAAATAATTTTCTTAAGAATCTTTATCACGGCGCCTGTACCACGCAAATGCGTGAGGCTGAAAACCAGTACAATAAAACGGACCACGTACTATTTTCTTTCATACCATATTTTATATTTTTACCGGATAAAGTAAATAGCCCGTTCATTCTAGTGAATAATCAATGCATAGAATTTGCTTAAGAAAAACAGTATTGCTTTTGTAAAGTGAATTGGCGTTTTAACACACGTTTTCTCTTAACAAAAAAAAATTACTGTTTTTGTCCAAGTCTAATTTTTGTACAGGTTACTCTTTACAATGGGCGGATTTACACTTTATCCTCATGATATATCAAAAACAGTTATAAAAGACACCGGTCTTCTGCATTCGTTTTCCACCTACACAGAACATAGACATGTCACGTGGGATAGATAATTTATTTATGACATGTTCAACTATTTTCTCAAGAACAGTTTTATGGCATTAACATTTTTCTTTGCAAACATTACTGCGGGTTACAAGATGATGTCGTAGTTATTTTAACATTATAAAGTAACTTACAGGTTTAATGTTTAATAAGTATTTTCATTTATTATCAATTGTTACTTTTTATTTATAAATAAAACTTCTATGTTTATTTGTTTTCCAGTATTTTTGATCGAGTTGAATCATATTACAAGAAGGCGGTAGAAACGGGCCTTGCCCTCCGATACAAAATTATCATATAATTATACCCGCGAAATATAGTTATATATCAGTTAAATACATTCATATTTGTAAAAACAAATATAATGTAAGTTTAAATATAGAAATCAACTCCAGTTTCAATTTAAAAATGTAATTATTTTATTTGAAAAAGTCTTCATAAGGTATACTTTGTTTACAGGAAATGACGTCAACGTCATATGACGTCAAGGACAACGACGTCAAAATGTAATACATAATTTGGCATATAAATGTAATATGTAGGATCGTAATAAAAGATACAAAACACTGGTGAAGATGCAGTAAAAGCTATGTAAAATTAGAAAACCAACATAAACTACATATTGTCATGAAATTAGTTTTAAGTCATATTAAGCAAACATTAGAAAATACAATTTTTTATAAAAAAATATTAAAATGAAGATTTATAATCTACAAAATTAATAAAGTATTTTGGAATTCATGCCATCAGGAATAATTGTACCTAGCTTATACATCCATTAAGTTTCTTTTAATAATCTTTGTCAATTATTCTTTATTTTATCAATTGGCATGAATGAAAAATCTTTGATAGAATGCCATTCAGAATTAAAATGTTCAGATACATTGGTAATAGTGTCAGGAAAGTGTTTTATATCAAATTTGTGGCTATTCATTCTTTGACTACATTTTTGCTGAGTTTGACCAACATACTGTTTTTATGAAAACATTCATATTCATTTTTATGTTACAACTCTGACAGTCAATAGCTTCAGTTATTCATTTTATTATTACAAATTAGAATAATAATTTTGTTACGTTTTCTCGACACAGTTTTCATGGTGGCATTGTGTATTGAACTTCGTCACTCATTGATAAATAATCAAAATATTACTGCGCGAGAGGGTTTTCGTTTAGACGTGGCAGGTCGTGTCACATAGGTAACAGATGTAAAGTATTTATTGATCAATACGGATTTTGGTATTGTTTGATTGCCAACAAATTAGGTTATCAAGCGATATTCATACTAACATTCCGAAAAATACTTAGGGATTGTGCATACGAGAATATTTTTTAAAAGACACCGAGAACACTTTAAAATCATTGAGCAACCTACTCTATAGAGGTGCTCTTTAATGCAGAGTACTAACCGACAATTCCACTTTATTATTTGCAAAAGCGCATGTTGGCTAATTTTCGTTGCTAAGGTCGTACACTCCTGATAGAAAATGGAAGACACTTAAATCAGATAACAGGTTTTCTACATAATGCTACAGAAACAATGTTTATTCGATTAAAATCGAAGTGCGGTGTTTTTAATGTTTGTCCTTTGTACAGAGATTTAAGAAGTAAAATAGTTAAAGCAGAATGGTTAGCTGCGCAGTAATTATTATGAGTGACAGTGAAACTGACAGCATTTTCTCCTTAACAAGTTTTTAAATGAAAGCCTTTTAATTAAGGGCATCATTTAATTCAAACTAACCTAAATATTTTGTATTGATTTCAATACATTGAATCTTTATATACTATACTATTTTATTATAACAAGTCACTGACGTCTTTCATTCTTAACAATTCTTTAATTAAAACGTAATTGGTATATAATTGTTCATAATCAAACGTTTCAAAGAAAGATATCCTAATACATTTGATTTACATTATGCATGATATAAGATCGATTTGAAAAAGAATAACGGCGCTACACAATAACTTAAGTTGTAATAAAACGTTGTTGTTGCAATGTGATGTCTATCAGAAGCTCCTGACTGATTCATTTATGAATTTATTCTCAGATAATTGTTGTGATAAAATATGGTAAGCGTGACTTGCGTATATTATGATTTTTGTAATTTGTTTTGTATCACAGTTATTAAAAAAAGAGAAAAACTTATTCCATTTTATTTTTTGCTAATTGAGGGATTATTTTTTTCCAGATATATATTATATACGAGCCAAGTTATGATAATGCTTTCTAATATAAACGACACTATAATACAATGTATATTTAAAACATATGCGTTGAGTTAAAAGTGCCATTCAGTGTCATGAATTCTATTATGAACTTTTGATTTTTTTTAGTATGATTAACTACTAATTCCATAATGTTTGTGCTTATAATCAATAAGAAATATAGCGTAAGTATTTGACAGTTTATAATAT